TGTTGTCTTGATTATGGTAGTTTGCGTAAACATGTGATTTTGTTGTGGCCTATAAAGTCGTCTTAAAATGATAAATAGATCTACACTTCTAAATGATGGGCCTTTATTCACACTTGTCAGACCAACAATTAATAATAGCATTTTTTATGGTAACCTGTTTAGTACTTCATATAACTTATGAACTATTCCTATGCTGTTTCTGTTCATTACCTAGCATTTTCCCATCATAAAATAGAATAAAAATTCATTGTTCTCATGTCAGTGTCTTTCTCTTTACTCCCAACTCGAACTTACATCAGACTAACGATAATTGGACTGCAATAGCCAGTGGCTTTTCACCCTTGCACTCGGAAGACATGAGTTCTACTCTCAAATCGGAGCGAGAATCCCGTCTGTCTGGGGGATGATGTGTCAAATGCAGCATGGATTGGGCCAAACAGGCAGGGTGGAGGCAGCCAACCTCCAAGAAGATCAAAATTGTGTTGAGGCTAAGGGGAGGATAAGAATAAATATTATTGTGTAGATCATTTGGTGATAAGAATTCATGGACCACTACCACTGTTGTTGACGTTTCGGTCCATGTCGTTGCTGGTATCGTCGTTTCCATCGTTATTAGCGGTAGGCTTCATCACTGCTCTTATTGCTGCGTTTGTAGACATAACCGTCTGTGTCGTTGACAATACTATCCTCAATTTCAATAGTGTTTAAGAGCATTTAAAATGGCAGTTTACACTGTATGCTTCCCAGGAAGTTGATTTTTTTCAGAATGCTAACAGGTCTACTTGAGTAATAATACAGGTTGCCGTTGCAAAGTGTATGGCTTACAGCTGGCTGTAGAGTGGGAATTTTCGCAAATTCTAATGCTCTTTATAATTGATTATTACCATGTACTTTTAAGATAGTTGGAAACAATCTAAGCGATGTAAAAATACCGGATATTATTGTTAGGCTGACATTTTTGTGGCATTTTGCCACAAGCATTTTCACCGCTTACACCTTCATCAACAATCTATATTATCACAAAGCTTTTTTTTCGGCTCTATTTATTGACATCATCTCATGCGCCGTTTTATTCAACACGATGACGGATGGATAAATAATTGACACAGTGGAGGATTCTGCGTGCTGCATCCCATAACATTCATGTTTCCCTGTCATCAGAAACGATTGCCAATATGAACACAAAAGCAGCAGCAGCTGGAAGTTCTCACGGGTGTCTGTGTTTTTAGAGGGTGAGACCTTGAGAGAGAGAGAGAGAGAGAGAGAGAGAGAGAGAGAGAGAGAGAGAGAGAGAGAGAGAGAGCACACCTATTGTTTCAGGCCCGTGCGTCACGAAATAGAATATTATTTATTGTGATACATCGTAGGCGTCAGTGGCCTAGTGGCTAGGCAACCGGGTCCGTAATCGTAAGACTGCGGGCTCGGGTGTTCGAGCCTCAACTCGGTCCGACATTGTGTCTTTGAGAAAGGCACTTTACATGAACTTGTACTATAATACTATCCTAGATAGAGACTATAGTCGCTACCTTAGAATTACAAGGTTCTGTCTGCCATCGATGGTTTTGAGTTACTAATACCATGAGGTCAGAAATCAAATTGTAATGTTCTATCTGCTCTATCAAAATCCTAAGCTTATTCAGTCATTGGAAAAAGTTTGACTTGTAAAACTTAAAAATTGTTAAAACTAGGTAATGTTGAGATATTTTTGTAATTCTTAGGTAGCGAAGTGGTGGTTAGGCTACCGGACCCATAATCGTGACATTGCTGGTTCGGGCGTTTGAGCCTCAGCTCGGTCAAACGATGTGCCCTTGGGAAAGGATCTTTACACGAGTTTCATATAATTTGGCTCTGTCATTTCAAAGATGGACGATAAAATCAGAGGTCCCTCCTCATAAATAACATAATAGTGTTGAAAGGGGCTTTAAATCTAGCTATTTTTACCATTCTCAATAATGTATTGTAGGCCTGAGTGATTTGTGAATAGGCGTCCTATAATACTATCCTAGATCATGCACGCTGACGTACTTCCGGTTCACTATGGAGCACGCCATTCGACTCACTTTGAACCAAATAAAGAATAAGGGGGTGGGGGCAGGGAGGGAGGGTATGGAGAGAGAGGAGGAGGGGGGTCACACGTACTCGACTACACCGAGACTAGTGTAGCGTCCTTTATCTGTGCATATATATATAACACATTATATATATATATATATATATATATATATATATATATATATATATATATTGTATTATTGACAACAGACCATAAATCTTTTTTTCCCCTTTTTTTTCACGCATTTGTTTAGCTGTTACGGCGTTTTCTCTGATTTTAATATCACCTTACCTATGTAATGTTTTACATAGATATTTAATTGTGTAATCTCCCAGCCCAAAAAAATGTATTAAAAAAATAAATAAATAAACAAATAGATAAACAAATACACAAGTAAATAAATAAAAAAGAATAATAAATATATTTAAAAATCAATCAATCCATCAATCAGTCAACGAAAGTATGCCAAGGATTAAGCAAGCTACTTCGGACTCGCATGTCAGGGCCAACCCAGGCTGAACAATAACAACACCCCTCACTGGAAAGTAAAGACGCAGGTGCTCGATAAATTAACATGAACTTCCCCTCTTGGAATCGAACTGGTGTCTTTTTCCTCACAGTGGAGAGCTCATCCTCAGCACCCTAGACACCGGATGGAAAAACGGAAAAGGGGGGGGGGGAGACTTTTGAGTGTGGACAGGATTGTCAGCCTTTTTATTATCACCGCTTGTTCTCCATTGTCCATTATTTCAGAAAAGTAGGTCGTGGATCGGTGGAGATGGGGAGTTGGTGGGGGGCTCCTGTACACAAGATACATACAGCGACGTTGAAGCCTGAGCTTTCCATAACTTTTATTCTGCAAGTCAGTGCTGGGGTTTGTTGCTCAGTGTAGGCTGCATATTCTTGGGGGAAAATGAGGATTCTGGTCTTCCTCGTCGTCGTTCACTCGGTGGTTTGTCAAACAACTCCTGCTGTAAGTGCAACACATTGTAGTATCACAAACTTTTAAAATAAAAATGTTATCTTCTCGTTGGAGCATTAACGATATATAGAACAGTGATTTAAGCATAACATTAGCTACAATATTGACACATTTTCTACGTAACTTACGAATATCAGATCAAAAAAATAATAATAGTAATTAATAATAATATCAATACAGGAGTGTTCTGCGACAAATGTTTACTAAGTTAAATGAGTTTGAGCCTGCTGCGCCATACCTTATTCAGTTTCTGCAGATAGAACATAGTAGTTTTGTCATGCATTCCCGATTTTATTCCAGAAAAAACAACTTAAAATAACGAGATCCTGTGGCAAAATAATGTAAAGAGCAGTGCACCCGAACATTACGGTTGTTTATGGCTAAATCTGTCGGGGAAAAGGCAGTCATTTAAATTAGGTGGCCAAACTCAAATTATAGTTAATTAAAAGTTGCTAAAGAACTTGGATATACACTCATTGAGCAGTGGAAAAATATAGCTTTTAAACAATTATATGAATTAAAATAGCCAAAAGTTATATAATGACAACAGATTTAGGCTTACCAATTTTTGCTTTTACGCCAGTTTGTCAGAGCTGGATGTTTGGCATCGTTTCTTGGCAACAAGTTCATTTATGTTTGGAGTAAGGCTCTGCGTAACGGAGATTCTCAGGATAGACCATCTAAAACTCTCCCTGGGTTTTAGTTTAAATATTCGTCGGCTCTATGCAGCCCGCGGGCCTTGAAATTTTAGTTTGACACGAGGTATGCTTTACGGGATTTCTCCGTCTCGAAATTCGTTATATATTTTTTAAAAACTAAGAAATGTTTTGTATAATTATGCCATTGTCCTGCACATGCGGCACTATTAAACTATTAAGATTATTATGTTGTTGGGTATTTTTTTTTCTTCTTCCTTCTTCTTCTAATGAAGGCATTATCAAATTATGCCATTGTCCTGCACATGCGGCACTATTAAACTATTAAGATTATTATGTTGTTGGGGATTTTTTTTTCTTCTTCCTTTTTGTTCATGTTTTAAAGTATTGTTGAATAGTTTGATTTCCCTGTCTACCAAAAAGTGGTATTACTGGTATATATATATATATATGGCAAAATCATAATTGTATAAAGTCTTGATTAAAAAATCATTAGTTTCTGGACAGTTAGACGCTGATCAAGTTTGTGCAAGTTTTTTTGTCCCTCTGTTGTGTGCAACGTTGACAATTTATTCACTTGAGTTGCTTCCTACCATTTCAGAAGGGTGGTGGGTGTGGGGTTCTTGTTTTTTTCCTTTGCTACCCTCATGCACTTGCCTTCTTTTAACCGCCACGATGGCTCATCTGTGGTGTCACAGGTCGGCCCCTCTCTGTCATGTGCAGGGGACCCGAATTCGACTCCCTAGTGGGGAGAATTTTTACTGAGTGTCTCTGTCTATCTGCTGGGATGTTATATATCCCTCACAGACCGGGTTGGTCTTGACAGGCATGGTTGAAGTATGCCTCCTAAATTAACAACATTTTGCGGATGTGGGGTGTAAAATGCGTACATTTAATTAATTAAATGTTGTTTGCAATCTGCAGGGGCCATGGCCATACATCAAATGAAAATGTTGCTACTCTTTGCACAAAACCTGTAGGGAACTTTTGTTTCTTAGCCTACTTTTTCATGCAAAAATGTTTCCCGTGTTTTGCCTCATTTGACATTTTTTGGGGTTTTTTTTTTCCCCCCCCATTTCTTTTGTATTTTTTTTTTCATTTCTTGTAGTCTGTTCTAGCAGTGTCTGGTTAAATTCAGACTGAAATAATTCGTACAAGGGATTTATGGTTCTTTCAGTTTTTAAGTTTTCAACACGTCTGTTTTTTAATTAATTAATTTTTTCAATTGGCAAAATGAATAAATATTTTAACAGGTGGAGGGGTGGA